GAAAAGAAATGATTCTCGCTGAAGCATTTGGGTAAGTCGATCGCATTTGTCTTTCTTTCTACTTATAGTGTAGGCTCCTCTTTGGCCAACCAAAAAATAAACTGTCTCATGTAAACTCTTAAGTTTTGGTGATATATTTCTACTTGTCTCACTAAAAAGAAAAATGAAAATAAACCCCTCATAGGTGGCATGGTTCGTAGAACAAGTTGGATCCAAGTTTTTTATTTGTTAAAAAGTTGGATCAAGTTATATAACTTTATATAATGAGATCCACTAAACTATCTTAATTAAAAGTTTACTGCCTAATCTACATTCTAAATTGCATATATATTTAATTGTTCAAGTTAACAGCTAATGATTATTTTTGTAATCAATTAGCTATTGAAAATTTAGGATATATAATCTTTATAAATAAATAAAAAAAAACTTAAAGTACTGGGGTGTAATTTTTTTTTTTTTGTTACTAGACTAAATTAGAAATGTTAAACTGAATTTTAATATTTATTACAAAACTTTATTATTAGTTTTTTTTGGTGCTGATTTTCTGGTGTAAAATTATTTTAATGTTTTTGGTGGCGAACACTTGCGATATGTGTTTCACTTTCTCTCGGCAAGTAAACACTGAGAATCGTAGGATCTTTATGATCACTTTTTCATTATTTAAATAAGAAAAGCATATCATCTTAGATTTGATTATTTAACCAAAAGCTATAATTATCATATTGTTTAGGTTTTGATGTCTCATGTATAGTTTAATTAGTAAGTACCTAAAAGGAACCAATAAAGTGAATTGCATTTGCATCTCGACGTGATTCATGTTTTTCTTTTGCATGGTTTTTAACTTTTTATTTAACTACCACCATGACAAAATTTCTGTATTAAGCAAAGCCCATTGTAAATTTTAACAGCATACAGAGCCCAACATAGGTGTTGACATGTAAAAATCTCTAACAATTCATCTTTTTTTTTTAACCTTTAGTAAAACTCTCCACATAAATTGTTTTAACTTTGGTCTCGTGATATGTGTTGTTTCATACTTTGATTTCTTGGTAAATCACTCAATAGTATCTATTCTTATATTCTATAATCTATCTTCTCCATTTTAAAAGTAGATGAGTAGTTTTTTATTAACTAAATCACAATGTTTATTATAACTCCGATTTTATAAATGTAATAGCAACCGGAGTTAAATTTAGGCCGTATGTATACATAATTATGAAATTAATTAATATTATTCCAAAACTATAATAAGTTCTTTTGAAATAAAATAACAAAATAGGTTAAATTCTGAGCCTACACATTAAATATTAAACCCTAAATTATACAATTTAAGTTCTAAAGCCTAAACCTTGATTTTACAACATGTGAAACCTAAATTCTTTACACTAAATATTTGATGTAAAAGTTACGATATTTTGAATAGCATATATGGAACTAAATTACGCACAATTAAAGATATAAGAATTCCCTTCTAAGTTTATATATAACTAAACCTTTATTTGATGAAATGAAATCAGAGCAATATAATAATAAAAAATACGTTGTTAAATAGCTACTACGAAGACTTTTTCCAACCCTCCCTAGTTGTCTATTATATTGCAAGACTATTGAGGCCTAAACTTATTATTTAATAGTCCTATTTTATTTCTTGCAATTATCTTTTAAACTAATAAAATATATGTAAACAGTATCATTTCCTTTTCACAACAAATATCATATTGATATAGAGAAAAAAGAATTTCTATGCTATTGTTACATGTTATATCTTAAAATAAAATAGTATGCTATTGTTACTAGTGTATATATTAACTTTTCACCCAACCAAAAAAAAACAGTGTATATTATATATAAACCTGACAAAGTATTTTAAATATATAATATGATAATAATATACTTTTAAGTTAGGTTTACGTATGCTAATAAATATCACGTGTCGTACTTATATATATGTAATGAATTATGTTAAAATATACCCAAAATATATATATAGTTAGTTGACATATTATATAACAATGTATATCTATATCTAAATTTTTCTGAAAACTGAAACATAATAATACATTATGTATAGAGTTTACATAATTAAATGAATCAGTTCATGTTTTAACCGATATATCCTTGCTAGGAAACCAACACGAGAAGAGAGAATTGTTTACTCATTATTATGGTTGGCGAAATCCAAATACTCAAACAGTAAATCTTATTTACCAAAACAACAGCTGACAAAAATTATCATTACAATTTGGATAACCTAATTTAGAAGTTTAATTCACAATTTGACTGTATTTTAGTGTAATTATTTTCCAAAAGATTTTCAGACATTGAAAGTCCCGGATGTAGAAAATCAAATGTTCATAGAAATAGTATAACAATGGGCATTGATGGTGAGACGTGTTCACTTCAATATAAACTACCAATATCATATAATATATTAAAGCATATTGTCCCAAATTTTCAAAGATGGTTGTATATTTTATTTTCAAAAATAAAGATGTACAGCTTCGAAGTCACATTTATTTTTGAATAGGAAAATTTGAGATGTGATCGTCAAGAATTGTCTCTTTCACAACTTAACTTCTGAATTTTTTTTTTCAATATTCTTGTTTTGGAAATTTAAAGTTGTTGCTAGTTTTCTCCTTATAGTTATCTTATAGTAATTTATTTTATCTAATAATTCATTGGACACAACTCAATTTAAACCAAACACAAAAAGTTATTTTAAGAGTTAATAAAAGTTTTTCATCGAAATTTATAAATTTCGAAATTACTTTTTTTTTTTGTGATTCAATTTTTGTATGATACTATATAAGTCTCAAAATGCCAAAAATGCGTTATAAATTATGAGATTTAGAGAAAAATACGATGTTTTATAATTTTAAAATTTAAGAAAGCATGAAAACCCCCATTTGGCACATAATAACATTTCCAAATGAAGAATAATAAACTAAAGAAAATCCTATTAAAATTACTTATAATATCATTTTAAATTATAACAGATATGCCTAAAAGGCTAAATTTCTCGAAAAAATATAATTTGAAAATTAAAATTATATAAAACTAAAATAAAGCATTGGTTCGAAAATTTAATTTATAATAAAGTTTATCTAATATGGGCACAATCCAATGTAAATTAAACACAAAAAGAAATGATTAATCACCAAATTATGTAATAAGCATACAAAAATTAAAAAAACCCGTTGAAGGAGTCAGGCTAATACGGCTCGTATCGGCTTAGCTTATTATTATTATTTTTCTCATTTATCTTTTGTCTTGTCTAAAAGTATAAAGATACGTGTCGGTTTATGCAAGTGGTCCAGAGGGAATAGTTCGAGTCAGCAAATTGATGGGACCTACTCTTTTTTATTTTCTTGTTTTTGCAGATATTCAAAGTCAAATAATTCGGCCTTTAATTTTAAAAAGGAAAAAAAAAACATTTTTTTGCTTAAAAAGAAAACTTTATTTGCTGTATGAAAGAAAATTAAAAAGGAGAAACTTTTATCATATGCGTGTGTCTTCTTCACATATGCACACAAGGTGTTACTTTTAATGTACTAGACTTTAATCATCTTAGTTTTAGAACGAAAAGAAAAAAAGAGTTTGAGCTCATGTGTATATATTTCAAAACATTCTTGTAATTCTCTTTTTGTAACACATTTCAAGATTGTTTACATTTGTATCATATCATATGTACAAAAATATTACTCCTTACATTCTACAATAATAGATGATCTTTTAAATAAATGCATATAGATTCAAAAATTATTTAAATTTTGTTTAATTTTTTAAAAAACATCATTTAATATCTACTGAAACACAACTAAACCAATGAAAAAACAAGGGGGAATTTCAAAAATACCCCTTTTCCAATAACACTTTTTAAAAATACCCCTCTTTCTAATTTTATCAAAAAATCACTATAAAATTTAAAATTTATCAAAAAAATATGTATAAGCTTATATTTATAGACACAAACTATCTTTATATGTGTGTAAATTTATAAATATATATTTCATAAATACATTTTAAAACCTTTTAAAAATCATTTAAAAACCTTATAAAAACTTTGTAAACTTTTTAAAAACCTTATAAAAACTTATAAATGCCGTTTAGAACCTTTTAAAACCTTATAAATATTTGGATTTAGTCACGCAGTAGTAAAGATGATATTGATGTACCTTATCAACCATATAAAAGTTTATAATTTTTCATATTTGAAAAGGGGTATTTTTGAAAATGGATAGAAAAGAAGGGTATTTTTAAAAAGGGATACACCAAAAGGGGTATTTCTCAAAAATTCTCAAAAAACAATATGCAGAATATAAATCGATAAAAACCATAAAACAAGATTTAATTTTGCATATATTTGTGAGAAAACCATCTATGTTAAAAACAAATAAAATTCTAAAAGATCATCTGTATAAGAACGGAGAAAGTAAAATTTAGCAATGGATATTTTTTTTGTAATATTTACTCCCCAAAACATATCAACTTCAAATTTAATTTGTATTGTTATTTTAAAAAACAAATAAAATCTTAAGAATACATTAAAAATGCGATAAAGCAAAATTTGGATTAGGGTTTAGTTCTTTAAAAGTGTTTTTCATTTTGTTAATTTACTAAAGTCTTTTTTTTTAAATGTGTCAACAATTTTATAAGATCAATTCAAATAAACAAATGTTAGTTTACACACAAAGATTAACTGTATATAACATACTTAACTATTCCAGAGATATAAAACGATAGAATCATCACATTTCATTTTAACAATAAACCCACTAAATAACACAGTAACAAACTCGTAAAGAACTAAAATATAATATCACGCATAAATTGTTTTTAATTATATCACAGTTTATAAATTCCACTGTATAACTTTTGCAAGTAAACCTCAACCATATAATTATTTACCAAATTAATAACTACTTTAGAGTTTAGTCTTTAGCAACTAAAGTTATAAAGAAAATTAGAAATATTGTTTACGAAATAAAAAAAAAAAGGGTTTAAAAAGAAAGAAGAAAGAAGAGTCGCTGTCGCTCCGGTGAGGATTTGTCAGTGAGCGGCGACGTCTCGTGTTTGAGAGAGCAATGCAAATGGCAAATGCTTGTTGCTGTCTCCATCCACAGTACTCGCTTCCCACACGCCACGCCATTACCCTTCTTTTTCATAGCCTTCGATTTCTCTTTGACTTTTCTATCTATCTCATTTTTTTTTTTTACATTCTTAAAAAAAGAAAAGAGTTTTTGTTTTTCTTAACTTACGTCAAAAAATAATTAACAAAAATGTTTGTGAAGGAATGTAAAATGATTTAGAGCTCATCTTTACCAAATTCAAAACTTAATTAATTAGCAAATGTTCGGATTTTCTATAAATGGAGTGTTTTTGTAGAATATATTATTGAATGTATCTGTCTTTATATTGTATATAGATTCATTTGGTATGTTTGTACACTGGTATTGTATAAACCAGTTAGTAGATTACATTTCTATTTTGGTTAAGGGTTTCGGTTTACCCAGTCTGAGTCTGTATATAAACCGCTCCATGTACATCTTTTCTAATTAATGAGAAATAAGATTGTTTTGTTCATTTGGTGAAATGGTATCAGAGCACAAGTGATCCTAACAAACTTTTTTTCTCATTTCGTTTTCTCAGAAAATCTTCGATTCTCGAGAAAATTGCTTCGATTCTTCATCATCTTCTTCACAAATCCATCGCTAACTCTGTTCTTCGGCTTCGTCTTCCTAAATCGCAGCTCCGTTTGGTTGATTTCGTCTGAATTTGACCTACGCTTGGAGCAATGGGGAAACGAAACTGCAAATCCACTTACAGAGCTAACACGCCGGATCTGCTAGATAACACATCGCCGAGATCTCGCGAGCCACCGTCTGGTTCTCATCAAGCTCGCCGTGACTCCGATGTTCACGAAACTTCACGGACTCGAGAGGTGTTCTCCAAGCGCTCTCCACATCACTTCGAGGTATCCGATTCTCCTGATAATGTTCACAGTCCCTATCATCTTCATAGCTCAGATCATCCTGGATTAGTTCTCACTTCCACACTCTTAGACGGAACTAATTACGGAACCTGGATTGTTGCTATGACTACGAGTATAGAGGCTAAGAACAAGCTTGGTTTTCTGGATGGTTCTATCTCTAAACCTGATGATGATGATCCTTATTGCAAAATCTGGTCTAGATGTAATAGCATGGTTAAATCTTGGCTGCTCAATAGTGTTAATCAGGAGATCTACAGTAGTATTCTATATATTCCTACATCTGCAGAGATTTGGAAAGATCTTCACACTAGATTTCACAAATCCAATCTTCCAAGATTATATAAACTAAGGCAGCAGATTCAATCCATGCGTCAGGGAACAATGTCCCTATCATTGTATCACACACAAACTCAAGCTCTTTGGGCAGAATTGAGCAGTCTTCAAGCTACAGCTCGCAGCATAGAAGCCTTGATTGCCGAAAGGGAAACTAATCGTGTTATAGACTTTCTTATGGGCCTCAATGACAACTATGATACTGTGAGGAGTCAGATTTTGATGAAGAAAACACTTCCATCTCTCTCTGAGGTGTATAATCTCCTTGATCAAGAAGATAGTCAGAAATCTGCTCGTCTCACTTCTCATAGTAACATCACTCCCTCTGCGTTTCAAGCTTCTACCGGTTCAGTTCAGTCCAATGCTGTTGCTTCAGGGCATCAATATGTGAGTGATCCTGTTTCTCAAAAAAATAGACCAGTTTGCACTTTCTGTGGTAAAGTAGGACATGTTGCTGAGAGATGTTACAAGAAGGTTGGCTATCCTGCTCATTTCAAGTCTAAGCATAAAGCTAATGGTCCATCTACTCCTGTATTGGCCAATGTTGCAATTGGTGAATCTTCAGACTCTCTCAGTGCTTCTTCTGATGATCTTACTCCAACACAGATTCAACAGCTTATGTCTTATCTCAGCACCAAACTTCAGTCTCCTAACACCATCACCAAACCTGAAGTTCACTCTGTCTCAGCTTCTGCACCTTCTTCATCCACAGCTTGCCTCATTTCCGGTAATGTTTATCCCTCTATCCATTGTTCTTTTCCGGAAATGCTAGGCCTTATGTCTGTTCTGTTAATAGCAATATCATTGCTATTAACGCTTGGGTAATTGACTCAGGAGCTTCACATCATATCTGTCATGACAGAACTTCTTTCTCTGAATTTACTTCCCTTTCTAATAACACTGTTTCTCTTCCTACTGGTGGTCTTGTGAGCATTGTTGGTATAGGAACAGTTCCTTTGGGTAGTTCTTTGACTTTACATCAAGTTCTTTTTATTCCCCAGTTCAAATTCAACCTTCTTAGTGTCAGTTCTCTAGCTAAGAAAATGGGTTACAAAATCTGGTTTGATGATATTTCTTGTGGAATTCAGGATCCTTCTCAGGACCTGATGATTGGGAAAGGTAGAGAAGTGGCAAACCTCTATTTTCTGGATATTGAGTCTCTTTCCTCACCAGGTAATTCCCTTAATAATGTTTCTATCTCTGCAAATGTTGTCTCTAGTCCTGATTTGTGGCATAAAAGGCTAGGTCATCCATCTATGTCTAAGATTTTACCTCTGCAAAACATCTTAGATTTTCCTAAACAAAAGCTTAATAAAGAAACACATTGTAAGGTCTGTCATCTTTCAAAACAAAAACACATTCCTTTTGTTTCTCACAACAATGTTAGTAATAAACCTTTTGATCTTATTCACATCGACACATGGGGTCCTTTCTCTGTTCCTACTCATGATGGTTTCAAATATTTTTTGACCATTGTTGATGATTGTTCTAGAGCAACTTGGGTTTATTTACTTAAACAAAAATCAGATGTTTTACAAGTTTTTCCAGCCTTTGTGACAATGATAGAAACTCAATATGACACAAAACTTAAGGGGGTTAGATCTGACAATGCTCCAGAATTATCTTTTAAAGACTTATTCCAATCTAAAGGCATTCAATCTTTTCATTCCTGTCCTGAAACTCCACAACAAAATTCTGTTGTGGAGCGAAAACATCAACACATCCTCAATGTGGCCAGATCTTTGTTATTTCAATCTCATATTCCTCTTCCTTACTGGGGTGACTGTATTTTAACTGCAGTTCACTTAATAAATCGTACTCCTGCTCCTATCCTTAATGATAAAAGTCCTTTTGAGGTTCTTACAACTAAACAGCCAGATTATAATCTTTTAAAAACTTTTGGTTGTCTTTGTTATGCTTCTACCTCTCCCAAGAACAGACATAAGTTTGATCCCAGAGCTAAAGCTTGTGTCTTCCTTGGTTATCCATCTGGATACAAAGGATACAAGCTCCTTGATCTTGAGACTAATGACATTTGCATCTCAAGACATGTGGTTTTCCACGAAGAGCTCTTTCCTTTTGTTAAATCAGATTTGCCACAGGATAATCACAACTTTTTTCCTGATCTGATTCAACACTCTCCTGTGCCATCTATCATCTCTGGTGAAGATGCTTCTGTATCTTCTCCTTCTGTAGAGGTTGAGCCTTCTGCTAACCCTATACCTGATGTTTCTGAGCCTTCTGCTCAAACATCTCACAGGAGAACAAAACAGCCAGCTTATCTTCAGGATTACTACTGTCATTCAGTAGGTTCCTCAACCATTCATGAAATCGCTCAATATCTTTCTTATGGTAAAGTTTCTCCACTTTACTATTCTTTTCTTGTTTCCATTGATAAAGAACTTGAACCCAGAACCTATACTGAGGCAAAGCAACACAAGGTTTGGTGTGGTGCCATGGCTGCTGAAATTGATGCTCTTGAGGTAACTCATACATGGGAAATTTGCAGTCTTCCAGCCAATAAAAAACCTATTGGTTGCAAATGGATCTTTAAGATCAAGTTCAATGCTGATGGTAGTATTGAGAGATACAAAGCGCGGCTGGTTGCAAAGGGTTATACTCAAGAAGAAGGTGTTGATTTCCATGAAACCTTCTCTCCTGTTGCTAAGCTTACATCTGTCAAGTTTTTACTTGCTATCTCTGCTATTCATGGTTTCTCCATTACTCAACTTGATGTCTCAAATGCTTTTCTCAATGGTGACCTTGATGAAGAAATTTACATGAAGTTGCCTCCTGGATATGCACCAAGTAAGGGGGACTCTCTTCCCCCTAATGCTGTTTGCAAGCTTCAGAAATCCTTGTATGGTCTCAAACAGGCTTCTCGACAATGGTTCCTCAAGTTTTCTTCTACACTTACTACTCTGGGGTTCTCTAAGTCATACTGTGATCATACATGCTTCTTCAAGATAACAGCAACAATCTTCTTATGTGTGCTGGTATATGTTGACGATATCCTCATTGTGAGTAACACAGATTCTGAGGTAAATCTTTTAAAGCAACAACTTCAGTCCTTCTTTAAACTCAGGGATTTAGGGCCTTTGAAGTATTTTTTGGGATTAGAGATAGCAAGATCAGCCTCTGGCATTACTGTTTGTCAGCGTAAGTATGCATTGGATCTGCTGGATGATACAGGCATGTTAGGTTGTAAACCAACTTCCGTTCCTCTCGATCCTCATCTCCAACTTCGCAAGGATACTGATGATGAGTTGGTTGATGCAAAAGCCTATCGTCGTCTTATTGGCAGGTTAATGTATTTGCAAATAACTCGTCCTGACATAACTTTTGCTGTGAATAAGCTCAGTCAATATTCAGACGCTCCACGCAAAGTTCATCAACAGGCTCTTCATTCTGTTCTCGCCTACATCAAAGGCACAGTGGGACAGGGCTTGTTCTACTCAGCCAAATCTGAGTTACAACTTATTGGCTATGCTGATGCTGATCATGGCTCTTGTAAAGATTCTCGCAGATCTACTAATGGCTACTGTTTTTTCTTAGGCTCATCTCTCCTTTCTTGGAAGTCTAAAAAACAGCAGGTTGTTGCCAAATCTTCTGCTGAAGCAGAATACAGGAGTTTATCTTTTGCATCAGATGAATTGCTTTGGCTCACCAACTACTTCAAGGAATTGCAGGTCTCTTTGGTAAAACCAACTCTCTTTTATTGTGATAACATGGCTGCAATACATATTGCTAATAACCCTGTGTTTCATGAAAGAACAAAACATATAGAACGTGACTGCCATAGTGTTAGAGAGCGATTACTTGCAGGTTTGTTTCAACTGATTCATGTCCCGTCAGCTGAGCAGCTTGCAGATCCATTCACCAAAGCTTTATATCCTGCACATTTCCATAAACTGGTAAGCAAGATGGGTCTCATTAATATCTTCTCCCCATCTTGAGGGGGACTATTGAATGTATCTGTCTTTATATTGTATATAGATTCATTTGGTATGTTTGTACACTGGTATTGTATAAACCAGTTAGTAGATTACATTTCTATTTTGGTTAAGGGTTTCGGTTTACCCAGTCTGAGTCTGTATATAAACCGCTCCATGTACATCTTTTCTAATTAATGAGAAATAAGATTGTTTTGTTCATTTGGTGAAATATATTATTGTCTTCTCTCGTTTGTATACGTAACTTGTTTGATTATGGTTTCTTTTTCATTTCTGTTTAGATATTTTTAGTTAACTATCATACATACAACAATGATCTCATCAAAACTTTAGATAAAACATTATATATGCGTCAATCCCCAAAAATGCTACGATGGTCAATGTCTCAATGCATGCAACAAACCGAGCAAATAAACACAACGCACAATAGAAAATGACTACGTCAAACTCTTTACAAAACCTTTTTGTAATCCCCAAAATGCTCATATTTAGTAAATTATCTAATGACAAAACCTTTACAAAACCAAAGAAGTTTGTGTTGCTGTCACCAAAAATGTCTATGGATGAAGTTAAATTAGAAAAAAACAATGATTTTGGGCTTTAAACAGATCCTTTTATTTTAATTTTTGGGCTGCTTAACTCAGTTAAGGTCCAAGTATAAAAAGACAGACAAGAAAAGACAAATCAGACAGAGAAAGTTCTACCAAGTTAGTTCTCTCGAAAAGAATCTCATGGAGTCAATTTGTTATGTCCATTAGATAATTCTGAAAGTAGTTTTCAGGTTCCAAAAACCATTAATCCTCGCAAGGTAATCTAGTTTAAGTACTGAAACCTCATTTTCCCGATCATTGATAGTGACACTAGCCAAGCGTTGAAGATAAGTTTTGTCATAACTTGTATATGATTGTCTCTAGAGTTTGAATAGTTACAGTATATTGTATTCGCCTCTATTGTTGATATACATGATGTGTTTTGTTGAGATCCCATGTAGAGATTCTGGCTATGGCTACTTCCAGAAAGAGTAGCTGACTTGTCATTTCGTTTGCAGAAGTTTATGACCTGACACTCACACTTGCATCTTCCTTCTCCGCAGTATCGGATTTGGTTTGGGGGCAGAGGTTATATGCCCAATCGACTTTGAGATGGTTGATTCTCAGGTCTCGTTTCCAACAAAGCACTATACCCACCCATCACCAATGCTCATCATCATAACTCATAAGCAAAGACAATAGTTAGAGCTCACTACCTTTAACGGGACAGAGGACCATAACCCTGGCCGTACTTACCTATCTGTTTCCCGGAATCCAAACTCATGAAATCATCTATCCAGAAAACTAACTATTTCTACTTTGGCAACACTCAAGACTCAATGACACCAAAAAGATCAAATCACAAGGCTAGCATTGGTTTTTGCTCACAGTGTCATGTGACATCTTCAAAAAGATTGAGAATTTGGTGATTCAAAAGAGTTCATCTAAACTGTCTTATGATAATCTATCTACACAATTCAGTAAAATCCCCAGATTACAGCCTAATACATTCAAGTTTCTATCAACACAACAAACCGATTACGTCAACGTACCACCACAGATTCACAAAAGCAAATTATTTGGCAAAGAACAGAGATATGATAAGAATCGAACCCAGAAAATTCAATTCGTAATTAAGATTCAGATCCAAAAATATCTCAGAGAAACAATACAATTCCCAGAGATAGAGAGATAGAGAGATACAGAATCAGACCTATTTCTTAGAAAACTTCTTCTTCGGAGCAACGACAACTTGTGGTTTAGGATGCTTCTCAGCCTCGCTCGGATCTAACCACTTGAGAGGATGAAGATTGTAGAAAGGCCAATTAGGTACAGTGACAAGAGTCGTGAGAACAACACCACCGGCGTAGATCAACATCATCGTCCTGAACGATTCCGTTGTATAGCCAACAACCACCGCGACGACGCCGGAGATCACCAGTAAGATCTGCATCAGCTGCTCCACCCGTTTCTGTCCTTGCCAATCCATTTCCGATTCGAATCAAAATCAAACGAGAATTTGGATGTTTGTGAAAGCTTTGGTACCGAATCGAGAAACCCTAATTCCCACAGCACAAGGATCTGATCTCTCTCGCACTTGAACAAGACGCGTCTAACATAACGTATTAACGTTTATGACCACGGAATCGGTTTAAACATATACCGGGAAATTGATGACGGTTATATTTCTCCTTAACCGGTTTAAGATGGGTTAGTATTAGTTTAATTTCCAAATCACTTGTTTTAAACTAAAAGAAGAAGAAGAAGAGAGTTATCTCGTTTTCGGAAAAAGATGACAGTTTAGTTACCGTTGTGATAACAGTAACAAATCTCTCATTGATTTCCTTAAAACTCAAATTTTAATATGACCGTTGCGATTCATATTTCCTTTTCTTGTAAAACCTCTTTATTAATTTACTTTTATATTAAAATTCTCTCTCTCTCTCTCTCTCTCTCTCTCTCTCTCAACTTAACGCTTCTTCTTCTTCTTTCTTCCTTGTACGAGAAAATCAAAATTCTCTATTTCTCACTTCTTCTTCTTCTAAACCCTTAAACCAAAAATAAACTAATCTCCTTAGTTCGTTCTCTTGTCGAACCACAAAGCCGATCCATCTTCTCCTTGGATTCTCGATGATCGGGAGATACGTAACAGGGCGATCAAAACGGTGCTGAGTTAGTGACGTGGTGGAGATCGAGGCTTTTGGCTCCTCTTCTTCAGGTTCCTCATGGCGGTGCTCTTGCTTCTTCTTCTTCTTCTTCCCTTCTAGGTACCGCTCTATCTCTTCTTGTTACTCAGACTTGGAATTTTCCTCTTGGTCTTGTTGTTGATTGATCTCTCTGGTGTCTTAGCGTTAGTTAACCTTTTATCCAATTTTAGGGTTTTATTAATTATGTTATCAATCATCATCCCTTTTGCCTTTTGGAATTACAATCTTTTGTTGTATTGCTTTATTGATTTGATTTGTGAGTTTCATTGGCTCCCGGCCATAATAGAATCACATGTCTGCAACATACATAATTCAATCTCAGAGGCGTAGTTTATCAATCATGTTGTTGGCCTTATGCTTCACGTATTGTTATTAACTTATTATTATTCCTCTTTTTGGTTTTGTAATAAGTTTTCGTGATTCTCAGTCTTATGATTCTTGTATTGTTGGCCTTATATGATGCTCTGTAATGCTTTCGTGATTCTTATGATTCAAGTATTGTTGGCCTTATGATTCTCCCTTCTTATATGGTTTTGTGTATTTCAGTGTTGGAATTCCTCTTTTGCTTAACTATTACAAATCCATTGATTTGCAGACAAAGTTTCAGACCCTTGATAGGAGGAGGTATGTTTGTTCTTGGTGGGCTGTCATGTTCTATCTCTGGTGTCTGAATATCTCTTAAGCGTGTGGCTTAATATAAACTTGCATATTGTTCAATGGGTTTGTATGCTGATGCAAGAATCTGTTTGGCCTAGGTATCGGCTTAATGAAGAGAAAGCTGAGTGGATTATCTATGTGACAGATGCTGGCCAGCAGGAGCACTTTGATAGGTTCTTCAAAGTATGTTTGATGAATAAATATTTTTACACTTGTGAAATGCTCTGTCTTGGTTTAGACTGTCAATCGTAACTTTGCTTGTCTTGTCACTCTGAATCAGGCTGCCAGACAAGTAGGTTGGCTTCCAGAAAATGATGGAAACTTCCCCTAGAGTTAGCCACGTTAAATTTGGTGTAGTCAAGGGAGAAGATGGCAAGTGGTTTAGAAATCGTGACAGAGAAATAGTCCATCTAGCTGATTTGCTAGATGAGGCCAAGACTCGAAGTAAAACTGCCCTTATTGAGCGAGGTATCTAACTTTATGTTATCACTCTTTATGTTTTTGAATCGTTGAACCATTAACTTCTTGTGTTCTCATTCTTCCTTTATATGTTGTCCACTCAGCTCTAGCTAAAGACAAAGAATGGACACCCGAGGAGCTGGACCAAACAGCAGAGGCAATTGGATATGGTGCGGTGAAGTAAGTATCATCTCTATACTACTGCTACTGACATTAGTAATTTCTATTGAGCACTATATATCTTCTGTTTTTATGCTACAGCTAACTTGGTGTTTTGTCTAATTTTTTTCCAAAGTATGCTGACATGAAGAAAAACATATCGACTGATTATAGATTTAGCTATGATGAAATGCTTAGTGACACGGTACTGGAATTTGGCAGCTAGTCTACATATATGCATTTATGTAGATATCTACACACACTTAATAAATATTTGGTCATATGTCATGAGCAGGGAAATACAGCCGTTTACCTTCTTTACGCTCATGCTCGGATCTGTTCGATCATCCAGAAGTCTGGCAAAGACATATGTTACCTAAACTGGAAGCCATCAATGTTGCTGCAAAAGAGACTGGGGTCTTCAGTGCCTTCGTTATGAGATCAGTGAGTTAATTTCCTTTTGAGTCTTTACTGGTGTTTGCTGGATACCCTTTTGGCCTTGTATCTAATACATGTATATCCAGGGGATATCATGCCTCCTAATGGAGTGAGAGTTGCTATGGAAATTCAAGCTGAAGCTGTAGAAAGAGAGCCCAGATTCTAAATTCTGAAGGTATCCTTGATAGTTTATGTTCTGGGATTGAAACTATGTGCCTGCTAGGCTGCTACTGCTCATTTCGTTTACATTCCTTGATCAAAGCTACCAATTTCTCTTTTTTAATTTATTTACAATTAGAACACAATAAATCCTGCTTAAATTGTTCCTCATAATCTGCTATACTAACTTTAACAGGAGAACGTAAGCCCATATCAACAGAGTTGATGACTTGATGATAAGAAAAGTTCTGTAATCCTGGAATCAGAAGCTGCACAGATGGACCAAGTCAAACGAGCTCAAGGTTAGCATTTAGTAAGCATTTAAGTTTGGAAAACTTAGGTGTTAATACTGTTTTATTCGATTGTTAGTTACATAAGTGTTTATTGCTCTACTTAACCCTTGAAATGTGAATGCATTATACCATCTAATATGCTTTCCCGTAAATGATTCTCTGTAGATTTTGAATAAAAATTTCAGTGGCTTATTGAATTAGTGTCAAATGATGAAATCTCTGATGTGTTTGTTATGTATTATGTGTAGCAAAATTCGGGAACGGCCACTGTCTGAGCCGCCTCAGGATACTTGAGATATGGGAGATATCATAGCCTTGAAGGTATAACTTTTCTAAGTTTTTTTTTAATTAATAATAATAGATTTTGATATATTTTTATATCTTCTAAAATATACATAAAAGAAAAAAAGATTTTATATATTCCATTCCTATTTTTTTCTGATTTTAAACTATCAATATTTTTTTAATCAAATTTCAAGTAAACAGTTTTTTATTTTGAATAAATCAAAATAGTTTTTTTTTTGGGTTAAATCTAAGTGTTAAATTTACTTACGTTGAAAACAAAATGGGCTGAACATCCAGTCCATTTGTGGTCCGTCAGAGGTGTATAAGTTCAACATGTTTTCACGTAATGTAAATTTAACGCTTAGGTTTAAAGGCTTTTTTTATAATGAATATTTTTAAGTAAGTTTTGATTTTCAACGACAACGTCATTATACAAAATGTTTTTATTTTTAAAAAAATATAAATGTTCCATTTGTGGTCCTTTTGTTTAAGGTCTTTTTTAATAAAAAGTTTTAAGTAAATTGTTTTGATTTTTTTAACTAAATTTGTCATTATACACTTCAACTCATTAAACTCATTAATACCCATATTTTCATGAGTTGGAATGGTTTGACATCCCTAGCTTCAAGTTTTAAGGGTTTTTACAATTATTTTGACTTATAACCAAAAATTTTCATCATACAAAATATTTTGGAAAAATATCAAATTTAGATACGTTGAAATAGAATAGCAAACTTTTCATAGCTTACGTTATTATATAACATGTGTTTCTTTGGTTTTATGGCATTTGTGAGAGTTGAAATCCACACGTACACGTTCAGGTTTACAAGAAGAATTGGGGGATCTTTTTGCTTGATAAGAACTTAGATTCCTCCGCAAACCAAACATGCGGTGATACTTGCAAAGTGAATAGTTGCTCGAAATAGGAACAGTCGACCCCATTATTCGAATCTGAAGTTCACAGTCGTTTAATTAGTCTGTGCAACTATGCGCCCGTTATGCTGTATCCGTTTTCAGCTTGGTTATATACCAAACTAAAGTTCGAATCGAATCTCACATATTTTCCGTTTTCAGCTTGGTTAATGGGCCTTCAGCAGATGACTCTTCATGCCATAAGTGTAAGGTTGGATTGTTATCTACCACCAAAATTTGCTAGTTACTACTATATTGGAATGACAAATTCAAATCTCAATTTTGTGATATTGCTCTAACCGGTTACAAGTACTAAAAGACTTTGGTGATTAGATTGAAGAAGGACAATACCAAACTAAAGTTCTCTGCAGCCTCTAATCCTTGTAACTTGCAAGGTGTAAGCATCGCAAATTCTGCATTTAAGCTTCTTTGTGTACCTTAGAATTACATTTTTGGAACTTGTGAAAACAGTCGTCACTTGTATTGGATGCTTATGTTTGTTATAGAGCTTTACTGATTAGACATTGTTTCCAAATTCTACAGATAGAAAGGTGTGATCAGATCTAAGTTACAATTGCAGCTTTAACCACCCATTAGGAGAAGAACCAAGCAAGAATCGTTGGCATAGTAAAAGATTTTGCATTTACTAATATCAGACTATCAGTCATAAGTTTTTCTCTCTTTTACCAATTCAAGACTCAAGCAATACATCAATAGGCCTTCTATTAGCAACCCTACAATTATACCTAATCTCACCAGGCCTCCCAGATTGCAGATCACCCATCTTGATCATCCCTTCTTGAAAAGCCCTAAAGAACTCATCTTGGTCCTCGCTAAACATCTTCACATACTCTCTCGTCTCTTGAGTCGTGTACAAAGTCTGGTCAGAGTTTAGAAACCCTCTCCCTGAGACCAAGTCTTTAAAGTACATATTATCAAAAACATGAGCCGTCGCGTCTAGATCTCCTGTCACGTTCTGGTCTACACTCAAAGGACAAAGCTTGTTGAGCTTGGTACGGTAACCGGTTTCAAGAGCTGGATCCGGTTTACCTGAACCGGACTGGTTATAAAGTCTGAACATGATCGAAAAGCACCTAGCTTGACCAATTGAGTGTGAAGCGGATAAAGCCACCAAGTCTTTTGTAGAAAGATTGAATCTTTTGAAGAGATCGATCAAGTAAGTAGCGTTGGCTCTTGGACTTGGCATTACATCGTCTGAATCTTTCTGACTCGCTGTTAAACTGTCTTTTCTCCCTAGCTTCACCTCCCAATCTGGTCCTCCTGTCTGGTTTTTCAAAGACCAAAAGATCACTAAAACGAAATCTTTAAATCGGGAAATTGATTGAATTGAACTTACAAGAGCAACGGCGTCACGAGAGGCCATGATAATGATGTCGGCACAAGAGACAGTAGCAGGACAAGCTTTCTCTAAAGCTTCTTTAATGTTGTCAACGACTTCGAAAGATCTCAGAGAGTTGATGTTGGAAAGTGCAAGTTTCTCACCAAGCATGTTTGGTGTGTCGTCAAGCAACACAGATGCATCACATCCCTGAGTTGAAATTCAAAGAATTTAAATAAATATAAAATCAAGAAACAGAGAGAGACAGCGAAAGAGAGAGATTGTGTTTTTATTACATTGACGAAACAGTCATGAAATTGGAGACGCATGACTGAAGCGACGCTTCTTGCTTCTTTCATCATAGCTTTCTTCATTTCTCTTCTTACGATGGATTCAGCTTCAGGGCATGACTGGCTGTAGAATCTTGGTCGGAGAATGTCTCCTCTGACCACCGTCAAGAGTGTTAGGTAAAGGATGAGATGGTGAAGAAGAGACATGTTTTTTTTTTCTTGCTTTCTTGTTCTTGGTGTTGTGTTTCAGTGATGATGAAGAAGAAGAAGAGACTTGTTTGTTGGATTATATAAAGAGGTTTTTAGAAGGTTTTTTTTTTTGGGTAAGTGAGTGTGGTGGTGGCTTTTCCAATGAATTAAAGAATTTTTTTCTAATTATGGATTTTGGTCCTAATGAGCAGTTAATGTTGGTCAATGGTCATTAGAATATTATGGCAGGTTCTTTATCAAAAAAACTAGTGTAACACACATTTAACTGATAAGCTTTTAAAGGTCATGAAAGAAGTTGAATGAATTTTTTCAACTTTTGATTTCAAGAAAATGAATAGTCCAAGGCACTTTTGACTTTTGTAAAACGAAATAAACCTTATCTTCTTCACATTTACGTTGGGTTGGCCAAATAATTCAAACTATATATCCCTACTATAGTAAAAGAGAAGTACACAAGGGATTCGGGTCGGGTTTTTCAAAAAATTCCGGGTTAAATTTCCAATCGGATATTTGCCAAATTTTTTGTTAAATATTTTCCAAATATTTCAATAATATACATCAGATTCCTATCATTTAGGAAACTATATTAATGTTAAAATATTTTAATGCTAAATAAAAAATATGTCTTATAAGGAAAATTTGTTTATGAATATAAAGATCTCAATCTTTTAAAAATATTCTAATTAGTATATTAATTTCTTATATGAAAAAACAAAAAAAAATTATATTTTTTATACGTTTAAATCTTTGATATATAGAAAAAAATAATTTAAAAATATTTGGTATAACAAATATAAAAATGCATCTAAAATACATAAATAATGGTAATATAATCAATAAAAATGTTAATTAGTTTGAATTAGTTAAATGTTTCAAAAAATAAAATTTGAATCTATATATATATGGCTATAAAAAACGAAAGATGTTATTAAATTAGTGTGTATGATTTTAATCAGAATAAAATCTTTATTATTATTTTTTATATTTTCTAATATATTAAATAAAAGATTTTAATCAGAATAAAAAATAGTATATGAAAAGAGGTTTCAAAATTATTCCAATCTTTATTAATTTGAATTACCTATAAAAAAGAATAATATTTTATCAGTAGCATAAATAATGCAAAATTATAGAGATCCATATATATCTAGAAATGGTTATATTTGAAATTTGAAAAAAAAAATATTTTGACAATCATTAATATATTTCAATGAGTAATACGAAAATATTTTGGATACAAAAAAATAATTCAAAATTTAGGATAATTATTATAATTAACTAAAAAAGACTTTCATAACAATATTTTATCTTTGTAATTATTAATCACTACTAACACAAAATCAGTCATAAAGAATATATAATATATTCCATAAGTTAGTTTAAATAAATTACCTTAAATTCTGAATTTTCCTTAAAATGTTCTAAACATATAGATTAAATTAAAGGAAATCACTTAAATTTTTTTAAAAGCTGAAAAGGTGTTTTCTATAAGAATTCAGAATCACTTAAACTCAAAATAGCTATAATCGCCCAAAAAATCGATACCCTCTCCTCACAATATATTGTCATACATTTGTTGAATAAAGACATCATTTTTTTCTTTCCAACTTTTACATTTTATTTTGAGTTTTTTCTTATGATTTATTGTTTACTATTTTTTCTTTTTTATCGTTTACTATTTTAGTTTATGATCTCTTATTCAATATGATGTATATTAATATTTCTATTTTATTTTTATAGGATACAAGTATATACAAATTTTTCAAACTCATATGTCTTATGTGATACATGTATATACAAAATTTCGTTTAATATTATACATTTTCATGATTCTTTTTAAAATACACGGGTTTTTGCTGATTGGTTTGTCACCACATACATTGTGAGTATATAATTTGTTTAATAAACATTCTTTTGTTTAGTTTATTAAAATATTATATTTAATTTACGAAACACACTTTTCTCAAATAATTGAAACCAAATATACATTTCGAAATAATAATTGTTGATACTAAAATAAACGAAATAATAACACATACGACAAAACACGTTAAAATAAAATAAACATGAAAATATTCTCCCACGCTGTAGCGCGGATCTGAACCTAGCACGGGTCTGAACCTAGCATACGTGACAAAGTACACATCCACGATAGTACTTATTCTCATACTTGCCAAATTCAATACCAACAATCCATTTTAACAATTAAAAATTTACATAATTCGGAAAAAACAAAACCCGACACTTTTCCTCCGCGCTGTAGCGCGGGTCCGGGCCTAGTTATACAATAAAAAAAGGACATTGTTTCAAATGAAAAAAAAAACAATTATGAATTTGCCATTTTTAGTGACATTTACGAAGCTCGCTATATTTGAAACGGTTAAACATACTTTTTACCCGTTATGTTTGATTTTAGTCGATTTTATTTTTTAGAATTTAGTATTTGGTATAAAGTATGAATTTTAATTCAAGAAATAATAAAAATATATATTTTAAGTTTTTAAAATGACAAATCTATAAAAGTTAGCAAAAAATAGTATATTTGTAAATTTAATATAGAAAAAGTGCATTTTATATAAGAATTCTAGTAGTATAAAATTATATTACACATCAAAATCTGATAGTATTTATTTTTGGAACGGAAAAGTGTCCTTTAACTAGTGGTTGAAACAATTTTCCAAATTTTAACAAATTACAAACAGTGTGCTCATGTGTTTGAAACACACCTAACATTGACAGAGGCAACATCCGTTAAAGTAATACTCAAAAACACAAAGCAACTAAAAACCAATAATTACTACAAGACTAAACAAAACTAACAAAGTTTAGACACGATGATTAACTTTTTAATCATGCCCTTATCTCTTTACTAAGTGATTGTGGGGGTGTCGTGAGATAAGAAGATTGTTGTGAACAAAGGAGGCAACAATATGAGCCATTGGTTCATATATTTTTGTTTGCAACCGAACAAATTGCCCTTTTTTTTCTTTTGTTGTTTATCTAAAAAGTGAGACTGAGACTGACACTGGAAACTGGTAGTCGTCGTCATCATGACTTTAGTGTTCGTGGGCACCGATACGTTTGTCCCCATCTATTATAGTATAAGGGCCGCACACAGACACACGGAGACACACCCACACATACACACACACACGTGATATATGACTCGGAGGAGGTATCTTTATCTAGTTTCCTGAAAAAGCCATATACGCATTGACATCGGGAAATGTGGAACGCACATGGAGTTCATTGTGTATTTGAGGTTCACCAAACCAATCCCATCATCACCACAAAAAGAAGAGAGGTTAATCAATAAATATTGACCTACATTTTAATCCATTTAATATGGTTTCCTTTAAAATGTGTTAGTAATGTTACATGGTACAAATAAATTGCAATGAGAAAAATTTCGAAGATAGAACAGAAGAAGTAAATTTTAAGGACAATGTTCAATGTATCATGTGTATTTGAAAGCCGAGATCATATACTACTTTTGAATATAGTACACTCAACGAGCTCCCCATATGTCTTCCAAGACAATGTAAGCAATCATATATCTTCTCAGATTCGGGTCTAGATTTATCCCTAACGATGAACTCAGCGATAACTCCGTTAACCACGATAGAACTACAACCGGGAATCTTCTCTACACCTCTTTCGTTCATCAGTCTCCTCGCTGCTTTTGCATCTTCAGACATATTAGCCTCTCCATACATGCCATCCATCAACACATAGATCCCGCTATCTGTGGGATCAAGTTCGAGAAGTTTCTCAGCTGCTTTCTTCCCCAATGCAACATTACCGTGCATCCTGCAACCGAATAATAAAGCTCCCCAAACTGCAGCATCCGCCTCCATTGGCATACTTTCCATGAGTTTGTCTGCTTCTTCCAATAGCCCGGCTCTTCCTAGAAGATCTACCATTATAGAGTAATGTTTCAATTGGGGATTTATGTTGAATCTAGACTTCATCTGAGAGAAATAATCACGGCCTGTTTGGATCAATCCAGCATGGCAACAAGTTGACAGAAGCCCTATAAAAGTGATCTCGTCTGGGGCTAATCCTGCATCAATCATTTCACTGAAGTATGATATAGCAGTGGATGCATCTCCATGAAGTGCTAAACCTCCGATTATCGCTGTGTATGTAAGTGTGTTTCTTGTTTGGATTCTGTGAAAAACTTTGAGAGCTTCTGATATGTTACCACATTTGGTGTACATGTCGACCAGTGAAGTTCCTAGTGCAACGTTAAGACTAAGATTATGTTTATCGATATAACGATGAATCCAAATGCCTACATCAAGAGCACCAAGCTGCGAACACGCAGAGAGGCAATGGATCATGGTGATTTCGTCAGGCTTAGTGTTACTTGTTTGCATCTCCTGGAACAATGCCAAAGCGTCTTGAGCACGTTTGGCTTGGACAGATCCACCGATCATTGCATTCCACAGCACAACATCTTTTTCTCCCATATCATCGAAAAGCTTCCTTGAAACATCAAGCAAACCACATCTAGCATAGCCTGAAACCATTGTCGTCCACGACACAATTGTTTTCTTTTCCAAGTTATCAAATATTCTTCGCGCCTCGTGAATATCTCCACATTTTGAGAACATATCCATCAGAGCATTTGCGAGAGGAATTGTCATCCTCAGTCCATTTTCTTTAACGTATTCGTAAAACTCTTTCCCAAGTTTCAAATTCCCCAACATTGCACACGAAGAAACCAACCCAATCATCGTAACATCATCCGGCTTAACTCCTTCAGATTCCATTTTCTTATAAACCTGTATTGCCTTCTCTGCCTCCCCAATCTTCTTATACCCATTAATCAAGCAATTCCAAGAAACCAAATCCCTCACAGGACTTTCATCGAACACCTTCCTCGCATTTCCCATTTCACCACAAGAAGCAAACATATGAATCGACGCATTATGCACATGACTAACCAATTCCAATCTAAGCTTAAGAACATGCCCAAGAATCATGTGGCCTAAACTATTCAACCCAAGATCAGAACAAACCTTAAATAAAACAGGGTAAGTGAAATGATCAGGTCTAGACTCACACTCACAGCAACCATGTCTCAGCATCTGCTTGTATACCAAAATCGATTCTTTAGGATCCTCGCTCTCAGAGAATCCTCGAATCGTTACATTCCAAGAGAAAGCGTTAGGGTTCTCAACACCTTTCAGAAGCTTCACACAGTAATCGAGAAACTTTGATTCTGACAACGCGCAGAAAGCAATTAACCGGCTTGAAGCAAATGGGTCTAGAATCAAGCCAGTGATTACCATCTGAGCTTGAATTTGCTTCAAATGGAACAAAAGTTTGCATTTTTCGAGCAATGAAAGAAGAGGGTTGTGGAGAACGAAACTGTGAGTGGAGTTCCAGTTTATGGGTTTTTCTCTGTGATGAGGAAGGGATCGTGTACGACGCTGTGAATAAGAGTATAACGAACGACTAGGTTTTGGTATGAGAGGATGAAGAAGAAGCTTGGCTTTACTCACATTCGATATGTTCATCCGCCGTTAATTGTCGTCGGCGATTTCGCCGGTAGAAGCTTCAGAAGAATTTAGATTTGCTAATTGCTAAGCAAAATTACTGAACCGAATTGTTTTTTGTCTAAAACCGAACCGAAATTAATTAAGCTGAAACTGAACCGAAATCTTAAGAATAATATGGGCCCTTAAACTAAAACCCTAAAGCCCATTAACAAAGCCCGGGAAAAAATAAGAAGGATCAAACACACTTCTCTTCTTCTTCAGTTCTTGTAGATTTTTTCTCGGAGATTTTTATTTTTGAATCCGGCGGCGGAAATCGAACTTTTTTTTTTGTTTTCTCCATCGGAAGCTGCGGCAATGGGAAGAGGAGGAAGACACAGAGGTCGTTCCCAGAGAAAAGATTTCAAAGAAAACAGAGAGAATGTTTGGAAACGCTCTAAATCCGATGCTACCGTTGATGGCTCCGATAACGCCGCGCCGGAACAAAAACCAACTTGGGAACCTATCGTCACTGTTAACCCTAATTTCGAGGAATATTACAAGGTTTAACAAACATATTCGCTCGATTCTGTATTTGATTTTGTTGTGGTTTTTAACTCTTGTGTGTTGTGTTGTAGGAACAAGGGATAGTGAAAGAAGAAGAGTGGGATTTGTTCATGGAGATTCTTCGTAAGCCTTTACCTGCTGCGTTTAGGGTTAACTCCAAGTAATCCTTTTTCTCTTCACTTTGTTATCTGTTCATAGTCTCAGTGAGGTTTAGGGTTTTAGGGTTGAGTTTCCAATGTTAAGTTTATAGCTGGGACTTGGATTGGTTCACGATTGCAATTGCTAACGAAATGCTTCTTTTCTTTGTTTCCCACTTTTACGAATCGCAGTAGCCAATTTCGCGATGAAATTATATCGATCTTGGAGAATGACTTTATGAAATCACTTCAGGCAGAGGTAAATGGAGTGTTTGTAATTGGCAATTTGTACTGTTTATCTATGATATACTCGAGAACGTAATAACTCACATATTGGTTTTGCTTGTTAAGGCCATAGAAGGTGGTGAATTGGAGGCTATTAAGCCCTTGCCGTGGTATCCAAAGAATCTTGCTTGGCATTCTAATTTTTCTCGAAAGGAGATTAGAAAAAATCAGACACTTGAGAGGTACGTTGTCACTAACATATGAATGCTTCTAGTCACTTGATATTATTAGAATGACCTTTTAAGATTACTTCTAGTTACTATAAAAAAAAAATAGATTCTAGTTACTTTGTTTATGGTGAAAGAACTAGTGTGTTTGTTTTGCTATACACATATACATGATGGGTTCTTTATTGTGGTCTTTTCAGGTTTCATGAATTTCTGAAGTTAGAAAATGAAGTTGGTAACATGACTAGGCAGGAAGCTGTTAGCATGGTAAGATAGCTTAATACTCTATTTTACCATTAATATTGCTCTTTAGTTACAAATATTTACAAAGTTTTGTTTAATTTTAATCTTGCAGGTACCTCCTCTTTTCCTAGACGTACATCCAGATCATTTTGTACTTGACAGTGAGTGAATTTCATTTGATATTGTTTTGAGACCTAAAAGTTTTCGAAAGAGTCAAAGAAGTATCTGCCTTGGGAAAAGAAGAAATGACCATGAAGGTATGAAGTCAATGGCTACTGATCTATTATTTTGATCTTTAACAGTGTGTGCTGCACCGGGTTCCAAAACATTTCAGCTGCTTGAGATTATACATGAAGCATCAGAACCAGGATCTCTACCTAATGGACTGGTTTGTGTTGCTAAACATATCTTTTATTTTCTATATCTGGTTTTAGGTAGATTATTTGATTGTTCTTCCCTTAATAATCAGGTGGTGGCTAATGATGTTGATTTTAAAAGATCTAACCTTCTAATTCACCAAACAAAGAGGATGTGCACAGCCAACTTGATGGTGACAAATCATGAAGGGCAACAGTTTCCTGGCTGCCGTTTGAACAAATCCCGAGCTTCCGAGAAAGGAATTAGTGAAGATATGCCCATTAATCAACTTGCCTTTGACCGTGTTCTATGTGATGTTCCGTGCAGTGGTGATGGTACACTGCGCAAGGCTCCAGATATCTGGCGGAAATGGTATCTTCACCTTTGCCATTTCTTCGCCGATGGCAATGTTACGAAGCAATATGTGGCATTGGTTCTTGAATTTCTTATTGCTTTTGGTTGCTGTACAGGAACTCTGGAATGGGCAATGGACTTCACAGCCTTCAGATTATTCTTGCTATGAGAGGTAATTGTTTTATTTTTTTACATGTCTTAACTAATTTTAATTGAATTGATTGTAGAATGACCAGCCTATTGTAAACATGTCTGCTTGTTATTGTTCAGGTTTATCTCTGTTGAAAGTTGGTGGGAAGATGATTTACTCAACTTGCTCAATGAACCCAGTGGAGGATGAAGCTGTTGTTGCTGAGGTAATATTTTAAACAGCTTCTTTATGTTTGATTATAATCCTGTTATAGCTGTGACTTCATAATAACCGTTGCTTTGAATTCAGATTCTAAGGAGATGTGGAGAGACTGTTGAGCTTTTAGATGTTTCCGATAAGCTTCCTGGTCTTATACGAAGACCAGGTCTTAAGAAATGGAAGGTCAGTTTCTACTTCACTAACAATTGAACAAACTCTCATCTCAAGAATCTAATGGGATACTCTCTTTGTTCGCTTTGTCTTTGTTTCATCCAGGTGCGTGATAAAGGTGTGTGGTTTACTTCTTACAAAGATGTTCCACAAAACCGGAGAGGGGGAGTTCTTGTTAGCATGTTTCCTTCTGGGAAAAACCTCAAGGACTCAACTGATGGATGCAAAGAAACAGATAGTTCTGCGGTGGATGTTACTCCTGATGAAGTAGCCGAGGAAGTCTCTGATCTTCCACTTGAACGTTGCATGAGGATAATCCCTCATGACCAGAACACTGGAGCCTTTTTTATCGCAGTCCTTCACAAAGTTTCTCCCTTACCAGGTGAACTTTCTCTTTTGTTGAAGAACTTCTGGTTTGTTACCTATGGTTCTGTATAACTTATCGATAGTTTTCTCACAGAATTTCAGGAAAAACCAAATCCAAAAAGGAACTCATCTACTAAGCCTGTGGACTCTACAGAAAACTCTCCAAGTACAGAAGCTATTGTTACAGTGGATACTGTACCAGATGAGAGTGCAGCGGAAAAAGTTATTGAAGCAGACCCAATCAATGAGAAAGATGATTTGGAGCCTGAGATGAATATAACAGAAGGAGAAAGCATCACAGAAGAGAAAGAAGCCAATTCGAGTAATGTGGGAGGCAAGCGAAAAGTACCGATGCAAGGGAAGTGGAAAGGCTTTGACCCAGTTGTTTTCGTGAAAGATGAAACAGTAATCAATGGCATCAAGGAATTCTATGGTATCAAAGATGAATCATTTCCGTTGCATGGTCATCTCGTGGCAAGAAATAATGACACAAGCAGTGTTAAGAGGATTTACTATGTTTCAAAATCGGTTAAGGAAGTTCTTCAGTTGAATTTTGCAGTCGGACAGCAGCTTAAGATCGCTTCTGTTGGCCTCAAGATGTTTGTAAGTACAACATTCTTTTCTCCACTTGTCATTTCGGTTGATTAAGTGTAAGCTGCAGAAGTGGAACTTAAGATTATTTGCAACTTATTGAAACACAGGAGAGACAATCGGCAAAAGAAGGTTCAAGCACTCTGTGCCCATTCCGTATATCATCTGAGGGACTACCTGTGATCCTTCCATACATCACCAAGCAAGCACTTTACACTCCAATGGCAGACTTCAAACTTCTTTTGCAAGACAAATCGATCAAGTTTATGGATTTTGTCAATCCACAGTTGGCCCAGAAAGCAACTGACCTTGTCATGGGAAGCTGCGTGGTGATTCTCCACGATGGTGCGTATTGATTGGTTCTCTAGTAGCTAATATTTTTGATCATGTAGGGTGTGATTTTTATGGTTTTGCTGGTAACGTCAGGTGAAGAACCCGCGAAAGTGAATGCGTCAACAATAGCCATAAGTTGCTGGAGAGGGAAGGCTAGTTTGGCTGTTATGGCCACTGCTGCAGATTGCCAGGAGCTGCTAGAGAGACTTGCCGAGAAAACACCAAAAACCGAAGGTGCTTCAGTAAATGGAAGCAATGGTGATTCAGACGGTCCTCAAGCTATGGAAACAGCTTAAAACCAAGTTCAGTTGTACCTGTTTTGTTGTCCTTTTTTTGATAAGTTACTTGCTGCCTTCAAATTCTTTTTCATATAAGCATTATCGTATGATGACTTTTGATGGAAAGACATACAAAAACGAAATATTTTGTTCTAAAACCTTTCCATATATTCAGAATCTGAAAGAACTAGGCTAGTTAAGAATGTTTAATCAAAGAAAATATATTTTGAGAATCCGAAAAAGTTGATTTTCTTCTTTTAACTGTAATGCTAATCACTGGAGAAGACTGCAACACATGTTGCTCTTAGTGCAAATTCTTTGCCATCTTCCACAGAAACTAATATCTGATTTTCTAAATCCGTCTTGTTACCAATCAGGATGATGACAATGTTCATGTCGGTGTGTGTGCTCACGGTTCTTCTGACCGACCATCAAGGAATGTGCTTAAAGCTTTCTCGTTTTGTCATGTCGTAAACCAACATTTCACCAACATCACCTCTGTAATACACACTTGTAACAACTCTGTACCTATTTAAAGAAAAAGAACAAGAATGTCACTACACTACAATACAATATGGCCAAAGAACAAATGGGCCCGAGATGCCTTGACCACGAATCATTTCAGCTGTGTGTATTTTAACTTACCTCAATGATAAGAGAAGAGAAGATATAAAAACAAATCTTTTTAAGTAGAAAAATGTGTAAAAAAAGAAAAGGAAATGGCCTATACAGGGATCGAACCTGTGACCTTCGCGTTATTAGCACGACGCTCTAACCAACTGAGCTAATAGGCCATCTTGTTCTAACACTATTTAACATTTATTTAGAGTATGTTAATTATTTATGATTATTTCAAATTTGTAGTTTTTTTTTATTCTGTTTTGATTCGTTTCCGAGGACGATTATTATCGATTTTACAGTAAGTTTTCGTTCATTTTTATACAATTTCGTCTTCGGATTTGGTCTTGTTGAGAATTTCATATTTTTCGATTTTTAATCGGAGATTTTGTGATCGATCAATGTTTATTGGGTTTTTGCAGAAGGTTTTTGTCTGAACTGAAGAATACAATTCAATGGAGTGTGTAGTTCAAGGAATCATTGAGACACAAGTGCATTTCTATTATTTTATTTTTTCTGGGTTTTTAGAAAAAATCGAAGTTTTCGAGTTCAAGAAGCAGTTTTTTTAGCTTCTTTGATGGCAATTGAAAAACCCTAGTTTGCAAAATTTAGAATTTGATTAGATTTTTGAACTCAATATTTGCAGCATGTTGAAGCTCTTGAGATTCTTCTTCAAGGTCTTTGTGGTGTTCAACGCGAACGTTTGAGAGTTCATGAGTTGTGTTTAAAAAGCGGCCCAAATCTTGGTAAAACCCTTATATTCACATTCTCCACATTGAAGCATTTTTATGAATCATACATAACCCACATTGTGAATCTTCCCCTTTTATCAGGAGTTGTAACCTCAGATGTTAGGCTTTTATGTGATCTTGATCAACCAGACCCAACATGGTACAGCTTCTTCTTCTTCATCTCCTTGTTGTTATATGTTCTTGTTTCATTCAAAGGAATCTACTTTATGAATCTTGGATCCTAGGACTTCTTCTCCTTGTTGTTATTTGTTCTTGCTTCGTTCAAAGGAATCTAATTTATGAATCTTGAATCCTAGAACTTCTTCTCCTTGTTGTTATTTGTTCTTGTTTCATTCAAAGGAATCTAATTTATGAATCTTGAATCCTAGGACTTCTTCTCCTTGTATGTTATTTGTTCTTGCTTCGTTCAAAGGAATCTCATTTATGAATCTTGAATCCTAGGACTTCTTCTCCTTGTTGTTATTTGTTCTTGCTTCGTTCAAAGGAATCTCATTTATGAATCTTGAATCCTAGGACTTCTTCTCCTTGTTGTTATTTGTTCTTGTTTCTTTCAAAGGAATCTCATTTATGAATCTTGAATCCTAGGACTTCTTCTCCTTGTATGTTATTTGTTCTTGCTTCGTTCAAAGGAATCTCATTTATGAATCTTGAATCCTAGGACTTCTTCTCCTCGTTGTTATTTGTTCTTGCTTCGTTCAAAGGAATCTAATTTATGAATTGTAGGACTGTTAAACATGTTGGAGGTGCAATGAGAGGTGCTGGAGCTGATCAAATCTCAGTGATGGTAAGAACTATGATTGAAAGTAAAGTAAGCAAGAACTCTTTGCGTATGTTCTACGCACTCGGTTATAAACTTGATCACGAGCTTCTCAAAGTCGGGTTCGCCTTTCATTTCCAACGGACTGCCCACATAAGTGTCTCTGTATCTTCGGTTAATAAGATGCCCAAAGTCCATGCTATAGATGAGGCTGTCCCTGTAACGCATGGGATGCAGATTGTTGATGTAACAGCTCCAGCAACACCTGAGAATTACAGCGAAGTCGCAGCTGCTGTTTCATCTTTCTGTGAATTTCTCGCCCCGTAAGATCATTTGTCATTTAACAAATATAATATATTTTGAAATTGTCTGATCTTTGATGATTTAATTCAACAATGATATACAATGCTTTTATTTCAGGCTTGTTCACTTGTCGAAACCATTTATCTCCACGGGAGTTGTGCCAACCGCTGCTGCAGCTGCCGCATCTCTTATGTCGGATGGAGGAGGTACTACATTGTAAGCAGTTGGCTCTTTGTGTTCTATCTTGTTAGATCTTTAGGTCTGTTGTAGTCGAATTTCTTTCAGATCACACGATGGCTGTGAAATCTTGTGAATCATTTTAGAGTTGAATATGTGATGAGTTAGGGATCTTTAAAAATGACAAGTTGCAGAAGATTTTTTGTTCTTCTCTCAACCTTTTGGTAACAAAATGTTTCCATTGTTGTTAGTAGACTAAAAGATTTCGAAGCTTTAATTTCAACAGTATTGTGTCGACAAGCTTAACAAAATGTGTGTTTTTGACAAAAGCTTAAGAATTTGTATTTCAGAGTATTGTGTCCACCGGCTTATCAATATGTGTATTTTGTAGAAGTTTCGAACATGATTAGAATCAATGTCTTTCATGAATGTGAGACCAAACCATATTGATCATTCTTTTAGCTAATTTTAATCTTTAGAAGTTTAGTTTTTATAAAACATTGTCATGAGGTACTGGCTTTGAAGGTTCTTCAAACAGGGGTGGTGGCGCAGTTGGCTAGCGCGTAGGTCTCATAGCTACTGAGTAATCCTGAGGTCGAGAGTTCGAGCCTCTCTCACCCCATTCTATTATTTTTGTTGATGTCTCAGTCACAATTCATTCATAGTTCTTCGACTTTTGGAACTGAAACCCATTAATCATCCAATCACTAATAAATTCCAACTAAAAAGCCTTTTGAACCCGAACAGCTTTGTTGATACACTAGAATGAAAAAATTCGAACCACAAAAAATGAATTCTAAAAAGTTCTTCCTTTCCCCTTCACTAGTACTACAACAACAATCAGCTTCTTTAATGCTTCCTTTTCTTCAAGAGCCATTCCAAATATCACAAGCCAAGGGGTAGTAGAACAATGTATATATAATTATACATAGAGATTCACATTGTCAAATGTCAAAAAATTTGTGTTTCTAATCATCTACTGGTGCTATTAGCAGTCTTGTTTTTACTCATATCAGCAAGCTCTTCAATAAGTTTCTTCTCCTCTTTGCTCAATCTCTTAGGTATCTCCACTTGAACTCTCACCAACTGATCCCCTCTCATATTACTCTTGTTCAATACTGGAACTCCCTTTTTCGCCATCACAAGCGTGGTGCTAGGTTGTGTTCCTGCTGGTACTTTCAAATCTACCGTCCCATCCACTGTTGGCACTTTCAGTGTTGTCCCTAAAATCGCATCAATATACGATATCTTGCAAGTGTAGAGAATATTTGTATCGTCCCGCTTCAAAACCGGGTCTGGTATAACTTCTATAACAACAAACAGATCTCCCGGTGACCCGCCTTTCTTCCCTGCGTTGCCTTCTCCTCTCACTCTTAACCGGCTACCCGAATCAACCCCGGCTGGTACTTTGAGACTTATTCGTTTCGTCTTTCTCACGCGTCCGTCTCCAGAACAAGTACCACACGGTGTCGAGATCTCTCCAGTACCGTTACATGAAGAACAAGTCATGACTTGTTGGAACACACCGAGAGGAGTTCTTGCTGATGAAACCACTTGACCTTGTCCACCACACGTGGTGCATTTGGTTGGTGTGGTTCCCGGTTTTGCACCTGAACCATCACAAGTCCCACAGCTCTCGAGCCGAGATATCTCTATCTCTTTCTCCATCCCGAAAACCGCTTCTTTGAAGTTCAAGATTAGCGAGTAATACTCGTCTTGACCATCCACGGCTCTGCTTCTTGCACCTCTACCCATTCCACCTCCTCCCATCCCTCCCATGCCTTCAAATAGAGATTCGAATAGATCGAACGGATTACTGAAATCCTATTGAATGTTGATATCAAAAACCAAACCAAGAAGTGATCAGAGCGTTGTATTCGAGTGTCTAAAGATAAATCAGTAAATTTTGAACAACATACCCCCATGCCTCCCATCCCACCAGCGCCTTTAACTCCGGCCTCACCATATCTGTCGTAAAGAGATTTCTTTTCATCATCTGATAAAACCTGCAGAACAAAAAAAAATTCTTTAGTCAACAGAAACCTAAAAAGTTTAAAAAACATATCTAGAAGTCTGAAATTGCATAACAGAAACAAAGGAGAAGTTGGGTTTCATTTCACCTCATATGCATTACTTATCTCTTTGAATTTCTCTTCTGCGCCAGGCTCCCTGTAAGCACATAATAAACATGTAAACAAGATGGTAACAGTTTTCTAACTTAGAAGCATTAGTCAAGAAGGCAAACAAGACTGATACTTCTATATTTCAATTTCTGACATTTCATATTTCCCAGTCTATATTTCACTAATGCCTATGAGTTTTGATTTTTGAAGGTAGCTGGTTTTCCCAATCTGTGGAACAGCTTAACCTGAATTCTGATTTTTTGGCATATCTTACATTTTGCTAACAGAGGTCAAGGTTCTTATCTTGTACTTAAGTATCGATCCTATCCTCTTTTTATCAAGATATACAGCACCAATCTTCATCAAATGAAGTTTTTTACTTACTTGTTCACATCTGGATGGTAATTCCTAGCCAGCTTCCGATAAGCTGAAACAAGAAAGAAAAATCAGAGTGTAACCGGATAGTACAAGTTAATATATATACAAAGAGAAGAATTATAATCACGGGTTTGATCATGCATTGAAATATATATGCAAACCATCCATATACAAGGGAATGTCTCACATTCAGAAAAACCGAAACATACCACTTTTAATCTCAGGTTTGGTTGCATTTTTCGAAACTCCGAGTACCGAATAGTAATCCTAAAAGAGCACACAGTCACCCAAAAGCAATCAAGATCATAGTAAGTAGTGAAGCTGATATATATGAAGTCTGCAAAGGGAAGAAAATAGGAACACATACTGCATCAGCTCTAACAGTGAAACGAGATCCTCTTCGAGGATGCATATTTCTGGACATTCCCGTCATTGACAAGAAGGGCAAGGACCCATGTGAGAACATACTCGACTTTGAAGCTCCCAAACAATTTATTTGGTTCATGGAACTGCAAGGTCGTGAAAAGGAAAACCTTTAATGTTATTTCAGTTATGTCTTCCTAAAAGTTCCCTCCTTTTACACTCATCAGAGCAGTAAAACTCTCAGTCTAGATATCACATAACATTAGCTTTAATAACAATTATACCAAGACTAACCTTAAGATTTGCAAAGTGAACAAAGCAAAATCCTTAAAAATCTTTAAACCAAACTAGTTTCAATACTACTATGCAAATCCAGAGACTTAAAACAGAACCAAAAACAAAAAGCATACTTTTGTTGGCGACTTGATTGGACTCTGCTGGGGTAATAAGCTCTGACTGCAAATTGAGGACGAATACTCCACTGAGCAACGCAAGTACTTCCAAATTGTATTGAAGCCATATTTAGCTCAATACACTCCCTGCAACACAATTAGGTAGAGAGCTTTCAGTATCAAAAATCTAAGCTTTCTTACTCTATAAACTATAGAAACAATCATGTATTAATCAATACGATAAACCCAACCCTTGAGCAAAACAAACAGATTTCAAAAATTCAAAAAACAAACATCAATTCCACTTTGACACAGACTTCAAACAAAGCAGCAATACTAATCAGAAGTTGAGAACACATATGAATTCTTCATCGACTAAACCAAAAAATAATAAGGAAAGACAAAACATTTCAATCAAAATCCGATGTGGGTTGTTCGAAAAACACAAACTTGTCGGGTAATTAAGCGGCGGAAAGTTTCTATGGCGAATTCCACACGCCGCCAATTTAGCCCACTCCAGGCCAAAGCAAAAGGAAACTATGAGAAGACAGAGAATGAGTTCTCTCTATCAAGTGGAGAAGGTGAAACTTACCGTAATCAATGGAGGACGACGGAAGAAGGAAGAGAAGAGGAGAGGAGAGAGAGATAAGAAAGCTGATGACGATGAAGTTAGAAGAAGAAGAGAAACGAATGAAAGGAGTTCGCTAGAAGAACGTATTCCCTTTTTCCTTTTCTTATTTTTAATTTTAAATTTTTTTTTAAATTTTTTTTGCTTATTTTATCATATTATCAATTTATCATTATTATTGTTGAAAAAATCAAAACTTGCATAAGACTTTTGTTCTTCTCTCATCAACAACATTGAGGTAATACATTGTGTTTTATTTTTGTCAATAGTACAAAGATTGAATGGTTTGTAGATTTGGTTTGCGAGCATTGTGTCCACAGCTTTTAGTAGTCTTTTTGTTAGATCACATTTCCAATGTCAATACCTTGTTCTTGCTAATCATGTTTTGGTACTACACTAGCAATTTAGCAGTCTTGTTCATTCTCATATCATCAAGCTCCTCAATAAGTTTCTTCTCTTTGCTCAATCTCTTAGGTAAATCCACTTGCATTTTCACCAACTGATCCATTCATATCACTCTTTGTTCAAAACCAACACACCCTTTTTCGCCATCACCAGGCGTTTTGTGCTAGGTTCTGTCCCTGCTACTGTCATTGTCGATATAGGAGATATCTAGCAAGCTATATTGGTACCAGGTACGTTATAACAACAAACAGATCACCCGGTCATCATCCAAGAGCACGCATCACTCCAGTGCCATTACAGGAAGAGCAAATCATGACTTGTTGGTTCACGTCAAGAGGAGCTTCTGCTGATGAAATCACTTGACCTAGTCCGCCACACGTGGTACATTTGGCTTTAAGAGTCCTTAAAGAATGAAACTCAAACTCTTTGTTTGGATACCATGTCCCCATGTCTCCCATTCCAGAGTCTTCAACACACCTATCTTTCATCTCATCTGATAAGACCTGCAGAACAAAGAACGTTTCTTCTTTAGTCAAGAGAAACCCCAAAAAGGCTTATAAAAAAAGTATGTATGTCAACAAGTTTCACCTCATATGCATTACTTATTTCTATGAATCTCTTTTCTGCTTCAGGACTCCTGTTAGTTTAAACAAGAAGATGACAATCATCACTCCTACTCAAGATAATACATATACAACACCAATCTTTATAAGATGAATGAGGTTTTTCACTTACTTATTCACATCAGGATGGTAACTCAAAGCCAGTCTCCGATATGCTGAAGAAAAAAGAGCGAATCAATAGCATTCCTAAAAGTACAAGTCACAACAAAAGCACAAAGCATCCAAATCCGAGGTTTGATCATGAATGTCAAGATATGAAAACCATTTATAAACATGGATTCTCTCACAAAAAGGAAAAAAACATACCGCTTTTAATCTGAGATAAGGTTGAATAAACCTAGAATTGCACAAAACCACCCATAAGCAATCAAGATCATTAACACAGTAGTGATCTAAGCATAAGTCACATTCTGCAAAGGATGTAGAACAAGAACACATACTGCATCTGCTCTAACAGTGAAGCGAGATCCTCTGCGGCTCTGAATATTTCTGGACAAGAAGGGCAAGGACCCATGTGAGAACATACTCGACCTTGAAGCTCCCAAACAATTTACTTGGTTCATGGAACTGCTAAGTTGTGAAAAAGGACAACCTCTTAATGCTATCTGATTCAGATATATAACTCTTCCAAGTAATACTCATCAACGCAGACTAATCATAAGGACTAAATCAAACCCCTCCAAATGAATCAAGATATAGAGAAGAGACACAAAAACAAACTAAAACAGAGAGGGATATAGAGAAGAGGCGAAACACAGAGATTTATGTACTGTAATCAATGGTGATAGAGAGTGGAAGCTTCCGTAACAAGTCAGGAAACCAGAAGATCTTGAAACAATAGGGAATCGAAAACCCTAGCAAAAGGCAAAATTAAGTTAAATTGTCGTACACGAAAAGTTTATGGACTGTTCGACTAAAAATCCCTAAAAACTGATAGAAATATAATAAAAATGTAAATTTTAAAGAAAAAAATGTAACATTTCTTGTCACATTTCCAGTTCATCTCCTTCTTGTCATCGAAATTATATATTGTCATACTTTCTCAAAACTAACATTTGATTTTTACAGAAAAAAAAAATACATATTTTTTAATTAAAAATTGTAATTAGAAGAAATGCAGTTGTAAAAAGCTCCAAAAAGTGTAGTGGCATAACATGTGCATGAGGCAATATGCACAATGTAATTGGATTTTGTTTAGTTTGAGTTTTCTACATATTCTTCTTTATCTAAAAAGAAACTAAAACTCAAAATTGCATTGCTTGGTTCACTAAACATTACTCTCTCTTATCTATAGAATATTCTGCTAAGGTTTGTGAAATTATCAAGACTTTTAGAGCTTATCAAAGTATAATAAGAGTAATTTGAGCATTACAAGATATTAAATCACCAGTTTATTATAAAAATTTATCGATTTCTATCATTTCTTACAACAACACTTAAACTTTGGTGCTAAACCCATACAGCCTCCATCCGAGTAACCCAATAACTTTGTACACTCAAATTTGCAGTCAGCGTCTGTATAATGGTTTGGGTAACATAGTTTGATGCAATGATCATATCCAAATCCATTGACAGCTGCATAAATACAACCAAGTTAAAGAACAAGAATTTATATACGCACACATATTACATATAAATTGGTTTTACTAATATATATCTTTTAAATAAAATATTAAAAATTAACATTGATTAAAGATAGAGGAACAATAACAACATACATGATGAGGCTAAAGCGTTGGAGTTTAAAAACGAAGTTGCTAGTAGTACTGCAAGAACAGAAACAAGAAAAGCTTTTGTCATGTTCATTATTCTATTTCTTACTGTTGTTTATTTTGTTGTTAAAATAAGAAGTCTCCTAATTGCTTTATTTATAGTGACTCTACTGTCCAAGGTTTTAAAGTCAAGGAGATGAGAAAAATAGAGCATCCAGCTTACACTTGTAAAGATATGAGATTCTCATTAAATAGACATAAATGTTACAATAAATATCATCAAATTTTAATAGATTAAATGCAATATTTGACTGTAAAAAGTAAAGTTAGAAAAGTTGAAGACAAGTTTTTTGAAACAAAATTCAAACAATAGAACGACAACTAATCAAAAACGGAGAGAGTATACAGTATATGTTCTTTTGAGTCGATAACAAAAAAAAAAAAAATTGTTCTTTTAAACTGGCGACATATATATATTTTGCATGCCTACTATCGTGACATATGCAAAATATATCGATAATATGTTTACATGTGTTAATTCTACAACTGAAATACAAATGTTTAATTGGAACGCGAAAACTTCTCCAAACATTAATAAACATTTACTTTGGAAAGCAGTTCGAAGAGCTAGCTAGCTAACGACTGACAACAACTTACAAACAAGTCACATTGCCACGCTCCACGGGACCAACACTCGGTCACTATGCAAGCAGCACTAGCTAAACGTAAACCTTCCGCTATCTAGACTGTTTGTGACGTACCTATATCCGTGGATCCTTTCGAATATATATGGACATCGAGAAATGATTTTTTTTTTTTTTTTGCTAATCGCAATTTTTTGAAGTTTTTTTTTGGAATAAAATGTAAAATTTATTCGAAAATAATACTTTTGTATATCTAGTGCAACGTTTTCTTTAACGGTCTATAATAAAAATAATAGTAGACTAAATAGACATCGAAGTTATCTAGATGCAAACCAAGTGATCATACACCCACTAAACTTGTCGTCCCCTTGTTCTTGAATTGACGAAATTCTGTTTCGGACATGTTGGTCTAGTCTTTTAGCTAGATGGCTGGAATGAGTTAGTGTCTCACCGTGTCTTCGACTATTTCTTTGAAGTTGAGGTTCTCACAAAAGCTTTAGTGGAAACAAAAGGAAACAAAGACCTATGATTTTGTTTCATCCCCCTTAGTAGGAGAAGCTTTGGCACTATATGAATCATTGATCTCTGCCCAACTAAGAGGATATGATATATCTCCCCCCATGTTGAATCGGATTCCCAAGTTCTTATCAATGCTTTAGTCGATGGAGATTCATGGATTTTTACACGACATTAGACATCTATTGTTAGCTACATATTATTCTTTATCTAAATAGATGCAAAACCCAACATTGCATTGCTTGGCTCACTGAATTTTACTCTCTCTTATCTCTAGAATATTCTGTTAAGGTTTGTGAAATTATTAAGGCTCCGAATGGTAACCATACCGCACTACAAAACCGCACCGCAACAGTGCTGTAACAGTGTCAAAATATCTACATATACATATATATCTATATATTTTTGCTACTATTTGAACCGCACCGCATTTCTCCCGCAGTGAAAACCGCAGTTACCATTCGGACCCTAAGACTTTAGAGCTTATCAAAGTACAATAAGAGTAATTTGAGCATTACAAGATATTAAATCACCAGTTTTTTATAAAAATTTATCGATTTCTATCATTTCTTACAACAACACTTAAATTTGGGTGCTAAACCCATACAGCCTCCATCCGAGTAACCCAATAACTTTGTACACTCAAACTTGCAGTCAGCGTCTGTATAACTGTTTGGGAAACATAGTTTGATGCAATGATTATATCCAAATCCATTGACAGCTGCAATTCATAAACACAACAAAGTATAAGAAAAGAAAAAGAAATATATACGCACACATATACATATTATAAAATGGTTTTACTTAATTCTTTTTTTCAAAAAAAAAAATCAAAAATGATTTTATAAAATGATCAAAGATAGAGGAAGAAAAACATATAACAACATACATGATGATGATGAGGCTACAACGTTGGAGTCTGAAAACGACGATGCTAGTACTACTGCAAGAACAAAAACAAGAAAAGCTTTTGTCATGTTCATTTTTTGTTATTTCTGATTTCTTATTGTAAAATTTTGTTGTTAAAATAAGGAGTCTCTGCAATGCTTTATATTTATAGGTGACTCTTACGGTCGATGGTGAAGAGATAAGATTTTCATCAATAAATATTTTTGAGTCAAAAGTAGCATGCCTAATCTAGCTTTGGAATATGGTCAAAGATTTTTTTTGTTCATAACAAATTTAGTAATACATTACGGTTGTAACTTTAGATTTTTTATTGTAGATTTTAAACTGTAGATTTATTTTACTGTAACTGTAAGTTCTATTGCTTTAGTTTTGGTTGTAGAATTTAAAATTTTGGAAAGATGAAAATTATGTGCTTTAGAAAAAAGTGTTTTGTACCGCCAAAAAAATATAATTAAGAAAATATTTTGACTGTAAATCAAAAACAGAAATCAAGATTTTCTAAAGTTTGATTGCTTTGAATTTAGTGTTGTAGACTAAAATTTGGTTGTGGAAAGATTCTAAAGTCACAACCAATCAAGACCTATATATGAAGTTTTGTATATGACATTAATTATATATACAATATATTAACAAATTTGAAATTAATGTTAGAAAAGTTGGAATGACAATTATATTTATAGTATTCAGTGTATATTGTTATTTTGAGTCAAAAGTAGCATATTTGCATGCATGAACTTTGGAATATGGTGAAAGACTTTTTGATGGCAACTAATTTAGAGATACATTTATGAAATATAAATTTTATTAGATGATACCAATGTGGCAATGTTATAACTCCAAATGGATTTTATGGAAGTTTATTTATAAAGTTAAAGCTATAACGAATGTTATCATTTCTAGTATAACACAATATATCACACTTAATTTAACAGCATCGAAATATAAATATTTGTCTTGTTATTATTTTCTACTTGGATAAACTATTAGCTATTTGTATAAAATATTTAAAACTGATACATTAAATATAGATTTTGGTTACAGTTTTTTAAAAAAAATTGAATATATATTGGGAGAAAAATATTTTAATTCTATCACTTTTTGATCTAACCGTGACATGCACATACGGTTTTTTTTAATAATGTTTGAATTCTCTGGCTTATCAAGTGATTCAAGTCCATTAGAAAGGCTTTTACGATTTGGGATTAATAGTCTTGTGCTCGATGACACGAGTCTCATCTTTGTTTGTAACCTTTCCAATTAATTAACTAATCCACATTAATTAAGAAAACATGTTTGTGAGTTGTTCCTTTAAACTAGATGGTATTTTTACCAATCATTTTTTTAAAGTACTAACTAAGTTTTTGAAGAAAAGATGCTTTTACACTTTACGCTTGCAGGTAACCATTTTCGCATGGTCAATAACCATTTTAGTGATACAAACATACTGATAATGTTAATGTTCGCTTGTCATATAGAATCTTTACTCAGCAGAGAAGTGTTGGAAACTATTTTTGCTGAGGTATCAAGCAACAATACAAAACTTAAAATATATAGAAAACGCTAAAGGAAACACAGTTTAAGTGTTCCCCAAAAGACCAAAACCGAACAAATTTTGGTAAAGCAAAGGTGCATGCATGATTCACAACACTTTTGGTTATTAACTTATTCATAATACATACAAAAATCTCCTCGCCGAACGTCACCGTACTTGTTCTCACTTCACTCTTGGGTAAAGATCCTCCGACAATCTTAATTCTCCGACCATAACCAAAGGTTTCGAAAGAAACATATCATGACTCGATTCCATAAGCTCTACACGTGTCTCACTCCCGGCTAGTTTCCATCTAAACCCTTGCAAAAGCCTCGCGAGCATCATGGTGGTTATAGCCGTACCTAACGCCGGAGCAGCACATCCTCTCTTTCCAGTACTAAACGAGATAAACCGGAGATCATTCTCCGTCAATGTCACTTCCGAACACTCATTTAGATGCCTCTCCGGTTTAAAGCTAAGTGGATCAGACCAAACCTTTGGGTTACGTCCAAGACCGTAACGGCTTAGTAAAACTTGACTTCCCTTAGGTATATGGTAACCTGCGACGGTTGTGTCGGAGAGTGCCACGTGTGGGAGATTGAAGGCGGCGACGGGATGAAGACGGAAAGCTTCTCGGATAATAGCTTTGACGTAGTTAAGTTTTGAAATATCTGATTCTTGTACTAATCTTTCTTTGCCGACGACTCTGTCAATCTCTTCCATAGCTTTGTGGAGGATCTCCGGTTTGTTTATCATCTCCGCCATGGCCCATTCCACGGCGTTTGATGGGTTGTCCGGCGCCGCCATTACAAGTTCCTATAAAATTAATATATTTTTTTATTATAAATTTATGCAAGTTGACAAATAATAAACAATTCTAATTTTATAACCAAAATGATTATTACCTTTATGTATTACAATATATATATATATATATATATATATATATATATATATTTTTCTTTTGTAATAGACATTTTGGCATTTTATGTGCCAAAACATGGAACAATTACTTTTTTTTTCAACAATTTTATTTTTATTTTAAAGAACTGAAATTTCCACGTTCAACTTAAAGAAATATCTAACTACATGTTTCGCCGAGATTATATAATATGTAATATTAATATCTGTTTAAACTTTATAGTAATAACTAGTTGAAATTTTTAATTTGTATATACGAAAAAGCATGTGAAAAATAGATAGATAGTTACCTTAATGGTTGGTTTGATTTCATCAGCGGTAAGTAACGGCTGGCCACTTTCGTCCTTAATAGAGATGAAAATGTCGAGAAAATCTTGGATCTGAGTTCTTTTACCTTCTCTCCACATCTTAATCCTCTCTTTAATAATAGGATCGTGATATTTATCCATAATAGCACTAGCTTCTCTCATGATCTTTTCATGTCCGTTTAGATCCAATCCCGTAAGCATCGGTAGGTAATCCGATACGCAAAAGGCAAACGTAAACCCTAAACCCTCGAACATAGCATCCATATGCTCGATATCTTCCACGGTCGGTCCACCGTTGGCTTCGGTTTTCTCAGAGAACGTCCTCGTCCCGAACATAAGCCTCTTGATTGCATTACCACAGTAATGTCTCGTGACAAACCGGAGATCGACTGGCTCGGAGGTTTTAACCATGTTGTAAAGCCAAGCGGTCAAGTGATCTGTTTCCTCGGCTCTGTTGTCGTGTAGCCATCGGTGTCTTGCGGGACAAACAATCTCCGTCATGATCACTTTCCTCATCTTCTTGAATTGTTCGCCGAACGGTGTGATCACGCAGGTCTTGTAGCCGTTGGAGAGGATCTTTTGAGCATAAGTGAGTGGTCTTGACGCGAAGAGTGCGTCTTGTTGCTTGAAAATCTCACGTGCGATCTTAGGACACGTAACGGAGATCACGTGAGTGTTTCCTAGACGTAGACAAAGTATCTCCGTGTTAAGCTCTTTCATGAGGCTATGAATCCACCGGAAAACTGGACGGTTCTTGAGCATCGCCGGGATCATTCCGACGATCGGGAAACCCATAGGACCTGGTGGGAGAGGATGCAACTTCTTGTTTCTTGAAGATGACTTTACTTTCTTGAGTATCATCAAGACAGAAATGGCCACAAGGACTTGAAGTGTCGTGAGGAGATACATGTTGATGCTAAACAACGATCCGGGACTAGACTTGATCTTGAGATGATCCGAGGAGTTTGAAGCTGAAGTATCCATTTAATATGTGTTTGTTTCTGCATGGATCTTTCTTTCACCTTGTTATTTATAATGTCACGTATAAACATAGGTAGGTGCATATTAAATGACGATAGTATCCCTTTTGTTGCTGAGAGGAAGCAGTGTGGAAGGTAAAGCTAGACTTGGACCGACTTGGTCTCTACTGAGAATGAGTGTCACCATATTGAATATTGAATTTTTCAGGGACGAACATTCACCAAAAAAGAAAAAAGTATTGTTAGAAGATAACAGTATTATAATAATTTATTCATACTTTAAAATTGATTTTGTTGGTGACCTGCCAAAAATCCTCGTGTTATATATGCTGTATGCACTGATCCAATCTAACAAAACTGTGTGTACGTAAGTGTTTTTATTCTACCGTAAACGGTGGTTTCTCTCTACTTGCATATTCTTTAGATATAATATATAGTCGTCAAGTTTCACAATTTTGGGATTCAAAATTTTATGTTGATAACTAGGTCATATAGGTTTGTTGTCACAACGTCGTCACCGTCCAAATTCTAATTTATATAATGCATCTTTTAAAAAACATTAGCTATAAGTTAAGAGGGATTCACATAAGCGTAAATGATCATTTGTAAGCACAAAACTATACTTATAATGTGATTATATATGTATTATTTTTTTTGGTAGGTCTTTTGATTATATAATCTGTAGTATGTCATTTTCAATATCAACATCCATAGATGTCTTTTTTTGGAGAACAACATGCATTAATAAATGTCTCTTCCTCTTTTTGCAATTATAGACAAGAGTTTCTTATGTGTCGATTAGTTTTTTTCCGTGATGTGAACAAATATATATATGAAAATATCTTATGATTCTTTTTTTTTGGTAGGAGAAATATCTTATAATTCTTATCAATATAATCCGTATTGTCATATAATATGTGTGAAATCGAAATTATATATATATATATATATATATATATATATATATATATATATATATATATATATATATGACACTAGAGATATCAGTATTTTTCTATACAAACTCAATATATATTTATAGTTGACTAATTTTTCTAATGTCTATTTTGGTATGTCAATTTTGAAAACCGAGGTAACGTAAAAGCTGTAAAAAATCATGAAAATGATCAAAATTAGTTACATTGATGTATACAAAACTATAGAACGAATGAAATGAAGTTATACGATGCTTCTTGTTATTTCATGTTTATTTTTTTGTTTAATTTGTAAACTATATATAATGCGAATATGTATATATATATATATATATATAAACATATGCGGCATTCTTTTTTTTTTTGGCTACGTATCATTCTCTTGAGTGAAATAGTTAAAACAAAACTGGTTAGTAAAGGAAAATATTGGTATAG